CAGGGTGCTCACCGCGGACGCGGGGTCCACGCTGTGCGTGATTTGGGGTCTAGGCAGACCCCGCTGCAGACGAGGCGAGCGCACGGCACCCTCCAGCCCGGCACGCATGCCCCAGCCCTGGGCGCGTCCCTCTGGCCTGTTTCCTACGTTTGCAGGGCGCCAGGAGGACCCCCCACTCCCCGCAGTGCTCAGCACGGGCGTGGCTGTTCCTCTAGATGCACATTTGACCTACTTAGAGCCAGGGGTGATTCCTAAATACTTGTTTTTATTTTTAAGATTTACTTATGCACGCAAGAGCTGGGGTACAGGCCAGAGTTGTGTCCTGCTCCCCACTCTGTCTCTGAGGAATCCTCTCACCCCCCCCCACCCCGCACCTCTGGCCTACACCCCGATCTTGTATGCAAAAAAAAAAAGACTTGGCATCGAAGGAAAGAGACAAGCTGTGTCCCCTGTGCCCAGCTGACCCGAGCCGGGCACCAGGAGGCCAGGGCGTGAATCTCAGCCCCATCTAGCTGGACTCTCCCTGTCCCCCGCCACCCCCCATGGCCAGCATCCCAACAGGCAAACCCTCCGAGCCCCCAGGACGCCACTTGGCTTCAGGAGCGAGTCCATAAGCTGCTGCTGCCCTGTCCCTGTGTGGGGTACACCCCTGTGCCCCCGAGTCCACTCGCCTCCCCTCCGACTGCCCACTGGAAGGGCCGGGGCCGGGCGGGCGGGAGCTGCTGTGAGGCCACAGAGGCAAGGGCGAGGCGGGGCTGCGGCCGGTGCCCCCAGCCCTGCCCCGCCGCCTCTCCCCAGCGCACCTCCTGTCTACGGCCTCCAGGCCTCCTGCTCCCCGGCCAACGTGAGATGTTGGTTTCTCTGCTGTTGTTCCTCATTGTACATTGTGTGATGTCTTGGAGCCTCGTGCTTTCGTCGGGTTAGCTTTCCTTTTTTCTGGTTTAATTTAATTCCCCCCCAGGACCGTTCCTTAAACCTCTTCCCCTCTGAGCCCTCGTGGCATTATAAACGCCTGCCCGTTCCCGTCAGTGTTTTATTCTGTGCAGTCGTCTGCCGGGTTCATGCCCAGGGCTCGCCGTTGTCATGCTGACTTGCTCACAGCACATCATGCTCTGGAACTCTCGGCTTGGCAGAAAATGGCTGCCCTCCGCCCTCGCCTCTGGCTGGCTGGGGTCACGTGGGTGGGCAGGCGGCCTCGCGGGCTGCGTAAGTGGGCACTCAGGCGCCCCCACTTAGCTTGCAGCCATGACCCAGCTATGATAGTGCTGCGTAAGCATTAGAGAGGGTGTACGTTTTTGAGTTGATAGTTTCATGGTCAGTGGCTAGAGGCCCCAGAGGGGGACTGGTGGGCTGTACGGTAGTTCCATTTTTAGATTGTTTTTAAAAGATTTATTTATTGGGGCCTCCCCGGTGGCGCAGCGGTTGAGCGCTGGGTTGCGAACCTGCCCGCGGCCTCTACGGCGCTGGTTCGATCCCCGGCTGCTCCCCGGCCACCGGAGGAGGGTCCCACATGGCGTGCAGACCTCTCCTGCCACCCGCTGCTCCCCTCAGCAGTGTACTTCGGTCCTTCTGCCTGCTCTGCTCCCTGCTCTGGCTCTGGTGAATTCTCTCACCCTCCCGTGCTTCTGACTGTGCCCAGTGCATGTGTAAACAAAAACAAACAAACAAATAAATAAATAAATAAACATGCCTCTATTAAAAAAAAAAAAAAAGATTTATTTATTTATGCACACAAGAGCTGGGGTATACAGCAGAGGTGTGGGGGGTGAGAGTGGGGAGCAGAACAGGCGGATCCACTGAAATCCTCTGCTGAGGGGAGCAGTGGACGAGTCAGGAGAGGTCTGCTGCACCCTGTGGGTCAGCTCCCTGGCCAGGGATCGAACCCAGGCCTTTGCGGTAATAGCCTGAGACTCCACCCCTAGACCCCAGGGACACCTGCCATTTTTAGATTTTTAAGGTAAATTCAGATCATTTTCCAAAATAGCTACAGCAGGCACACCCCACCCACAGAGCCGGGGAGCTGGCACACCGGGCTGGGGAAGGGCCCTTCACTGGAGGCTCAGCCCTGAAGGCACAGGCAGTGAGAGTTCTGCTCTGCATCCACCTCCCAGCGCCTTGATGGGGATGTACCTCTGGAGAGTTAGCTGGCCTCCACCTCCCCAAGGCCCCTGGTGGGGGGGGTCAGGTAAGCGGGGGTTCTGTCCCCCCAGGTTCAGGAGGCCCTTCTCTTTTACAGCTGGGTTACAAATTGAAGCGTACACAAGAACCACATCTGTTTGAAAAGTGATATTCAGTGTGGTTAATGGAGTTGAATATCTGAATAGTTAATATTTTAGAATGCCTGGGGGATGTGGCTCAGCCCTTATCTGTTCTGTCCTCACCACTTCACGATTCCGTTGTGGTGAAGAAATTCAGCACAGACTGGGTTGGTGGCCTGCCTGCGCCATCCACCTCTCAGGCATTAGAGACATGAAGGGAGCCTCCCTGATGGCGCAGGGGTTAAGTCCCAGCACTATGAAGCTATCAGCAGCCACTACAGCACCAGCTAGATCCCTGGCCAGGGAGCTACCCACATGGCACAGCAGACCTCTCCTGTCTCCCCACTGCTCCCCTCAGCAGTGTGTTTCAGTGGATCTGCCTGTTCTGCTCCCCACTCTGTCTCCAATGAGTCCTCTCACCCCCGCACCTCTGGCCTGTATGCCAGTTCTTGTAAGCATAAATGTATTTTTGCATAGAAGAACTGAGATGTAGGCCAAAGGTGCGGGGGGTGAGTTCTGAGCAGGGGGGAAGAAGAGGTGCGAACCTGCAGAGCAGGCCCAGGGAGTTGGAAGGCGCGGAGCAAGCCTTGCAAGAAGAGTTCACTGCTCAGTGCTGGGAAAGGTGGAGTAAGATGACTTCTGATATCAGATTATTGGATTTAGCAACTGGGAAGGAATTAGTGACCTTGATAAACGGAGCAGTAGAGACAAAGGCCAGGATGGATCGGGTCAGAAGAGAACGGAAGGGAAGTGGATGAGGATCTAGATAGGACGGGCTCTTTTCAGCCCTTTGCTGAAAGAGAGAGCTAGAAATGGCCCAGGAGCTCCCGTGGGTAGCAGGCGAGACCTCGGATGAGGAGGTCGAGGCCAGCAGGGGAGACTTCAGTGGCAGTTGGCTGCAAGGCAGCAAAACAGTTCAGAAAGTTTCTGTGGACTGGGCTCCCCAGGCTGTCCCTGAAAATAGGGCAACGTGGTCATAAACAAGTCTCCTCCCATGGCTGATGTGAAGCAGCCTCCTTCTCCACAGAATCCAGGACACGGGTCACCCGCCCCTACCCCAGCCGCTCTGTTATCTCCTGGGGTTCCTCCCTCTCCCACTTGGGCAGGTGTCCATCGGGATGGACAGATCCTGTTTCAGGTCAAAGGTTCCCAAAGGGACAGGGAAGACTTTTTTGTCCTCTACTGGGTGAGAGCAAACTGCTTAACCCTAAGCCGCTCAGGCATCCTCCAGCCCAGGCATTTCTCTAGCGCCCCCTGCTATCACGGCAGAATTTTTGGGTCTCCCAATCAGATTTTGAGGCTTTCGAAGAATGAAATGTCTCCAAAGCTCATGCCCTACACAAACAGGGCCGGGCCACGTCGATCCTTACTCCTGGCTGTGCCAGACAGAATGTTTGAGTGGGCAAGATGAGAACAGACAGCAAGAAAGGCCCTCGTTTTTTCTGTGCCTCGTTTAATCCTCCCGTATTTACCCACTTTTTCTTTTTCTTTTTTTTTTAGATTTATTTATGCATGCAAGAGCCGGGGTACAGGCCAGAGGTGCCGGGGAGTGAGAGGATTCAGCAGAGACAGAGTGGGGAGCAGAACAGGAGGAGCCACTGAAATCCACTGCTGAAGGGAGCAGTGGGGAGACAGGAGAGGTCTGCTGTGCCGTGTGGGTAGCTCCCTGGCCATCTGGGGATCAGGGATCGAACTGGTGTTGCAGTGGCTGGCAATAGCTTGAGAGCGCTGTGTCTGTAACCCCTGTGCCGCCAGGGAGGCCCTAATTACCCACCTTTTAACAGGTAAAGGACTTCCCTGCCCTGGAAAGCTGGCTCTACCTCCTGGGTCCCCTCCTAAGAAATCCCTCCACTTGGGGACCCCCCCCCCCCCCGCACTGGAAAGGGGTGGTGCTTAAACAGGCTCGGAGCAGTGGTGTGTGCATTGCCTTAGTTCATGCTGGAAGGTGAACATTTCAGCGTTCCGGGACTTGAGGGGGGCGCCAGTGGGGCGCCAGGGGGGCCTCCAGGGCCTGCCGCAGCAGGTGTCCGGGTTATTTAGTGCGGTGGAAACGGACTGGCTGCTGGAATTGCATTTAGAGAGCCCGCGCTCTCCCGGCTTTATTTTAAAAAATCGGATCATAAAAGCAATTTACACTTATTGTAAAAAATCTGGAAAAAGCCAAATCTCACGTGGAGGCAAAAGCTCGCTGCAACTCGCTTTGCTCTCCCTGGAGCGCTGGGGCCGGGGCGGGTGCGGGGGCCCCTGACGTCCCAGCCGGGCTGCACCCCGCCCCCGCGGCCCGCAACGGGCGCGGCGTGGACGGGCGCGGCGTGGACGGCCGCGGTGTAGACGGGCGCGGTGTAGACGGGCGCGGGCCCGGGGACGCGCGCGCAGGAGCCGCGGGGCCGCGTGACGGGCTCTGCCGGCGAGGCCGGGCGCGGGGCGGGCGGCGGCCTCCGCATCCCCCACAAACGCGCGCCTCCCCCCGCAGCCGCCCAGCGCGCGCCGGGGGCACGGCCCCCGCCCCCCCAGCGCCGGCGCCGCCCAACGGCCGCCGAACCTTCTGGAAGCGGCGCCCCGCGGCGGCTCTGGCCGCGGCCCGGACCCCACGCCCGAGGGGCGGGCGGGGCCGGGGCGGGGCCTCGGGCCGGGGCGGGCCTCGGGCGCGGGGGGGGCGGGGGCGGGGCCGGCCGGGCGGCGCTGTTCCATTCGCTGCGGGCGCGCAGGCCCCGCCCCGCGGCCCCGCCCCGCGGCCCCCCCATGGCGCCGCCCGGGCTCATTCATTCCGCGCCGGGCCTGCCAGACACCTGCGCGCCGCCCGCCCGCCGCCCGCGCCAGCATGTCGGCCCCCGCCGCCGAGACGCCGTCGGCCATCCAGATCTGCCGGTGAGACGCGCCGCGGCCTCCGCGCTCGGCCGGCCCGGGGCGCGCGGGGCGGCGGGGGGCGGCCTAGGCGGCCTCGGGGGCCCGCGCCAGCACGGGGGGCCCGCGCCCCGCGCCCGCCCGCCCCCCCCCCCCGGCGGTCCCGCGCCCGCGCCCGCGGCCGCCGCCCCCTGCCGGGCCCCGGGCCGGGCGCGCTCGGGCCCCTTCCCCTAACGGCCGCCGCTGAGGAGGCGCCGCCGCGCGCCCGCGGCCCGAGGAGGCCGCCCGCCCGCCGCCGCCGCCCGCGGGGCGCTGAGGGGCGGCCGGGCCCCGGCTTCGCCGCGCGGGGAGGCTCGCGTCAAGGTGACCCCGCCTGGCCCCGGCGGAGCCCCCGCCTGGCGCCCCAGCTCTGGGGAGGGGAGCCGCCGGGAGGCCGCACAGGCCCGGGGGCCGCCGGCGCGCAGACGCGCACCCCGAGCCCGCGCCGCCCTGTTGGGGGGCGGGCTCCTCCGCTGGGAGCTTGGGCATCCTCTGAGCTCGGGTCCAAGCCAGGCTGGACCCCCCAACCTGGGTGCTGACTTCCCCCCGGAAGGTGGGGGGCTCGGCATGCACCGAGTGCTGCAGCGCTGGGCAGCCCGAGCCCCACCCCGTCTTCTGGCCCCGTGGAGGTCCTCAAGGTCAGTTTCTAGGGAGAGGAAATCTTTGGGGGGGCCTTGGTCCAGCCTCTGGTGTTGCCTCTGCCGCTGTCTTGGCCCCAGCGGCTCCAGGCTCCGCGAGCAGGAATAATAGAAGTACCTGCTTCTGGAGACAGATGGGCCTGGAATCAGAACCTTGGACCAGCCTTCCTTAGGGCCGGGTGACCTTGGGCTTCGTCCTGTGCAGAGGGCTTGAGCATCTCATCTCACGCTTTGCCCAGCTTTCTGGGGAGGGGGGCGGCCACCCCCTCCAGCTCGGCCAGAGGAGAGGGTCTCGCGGGGCTTCTGTCAGGTCATCAGCCAGGAGAGCCCAGGGGCCGCTCCTAGACCCTTTCTTTCCACGGCTCTCCCAAATGCTGGCTGTGGCCTATGCTGGGAAGGCTGGGCCTTCATTTACTCCATCAGGAAGATGAATAGTCCATGGCTACGTCTTGTCTTTTGTTTAAAACCAGCTTCTAACAGCTCACAGGTTTTTGGCTCGCTCCGGACACTAATGTGCAAACACAAGTGTCTGTGTTTGCTCTGTTTTCTGCTGTGAGCATCCTCGGCTGCCTCTTGTGCATTCACAGTTGCTTTTTGTGTCTTAGTGGCCACCCTGGCGTGGGATGCGTGGGCAGGATGCCTGGCCAGGGTGAGCCTCAGGTGTCTAGCAGGTCTGCCAAGGGCATGGGGGAAGGGCTGTGTGATGGCTCCGGACACTGGTTGGCGAGCCCTTTAAGGACATCTGAACTGACCCCCCATGTTGAAAGAGGAGCCTCCTGGCCTAGACGCCAAGCCTGTGAACGTGAGTCTCACTGGATGCCTCCGAGGAAAAGCACCACCTTGAGGGAGGGACTCCAACCTGGAAAATTCAGTCTCCACCTTAGGGTGTTCACAACCAAAGCCTAAACCAGTGAGAGTGGTCACATGGTCGTGGTGCGGAGGGAGCTCTTCCAGGGCTGGGACTTCACGCCCTGGGGAGGCCGGGGCCTGGAGCCCGCCCTGCAGTCCAGGCCTGCCTCTTCTCCTTGCGGGCCCTCCATTTTCACATGGGCTACCCTCTGTTGAAAAGAAAGTGAGGGCCTCCGTGGTGGTGCGAGGGGTTAAGCACAGCACCGTGAAGCTATGTGCAGAGTTCAATCCCTCAACCCCAGGGAGCAACCCACATGGCACAGCAGACCTCTCCTGTCTCGCCCGCCCGCTGCTCCCCTCAGCAGTGGATTTCAGTCAGTCTGCTTGTTCCGCTCCCCGCTCTGTCTCTGGTGAGTCCTCTCACCACACCCGCACCTCTGGCCTATACCCCACTTCTTGTTCTTGTATGCATAAATAAATAAATATTAAAAAGAAGAAATAAAAGAAAGTGAGTTAGTGCTTGGCGGAGGGGCTAGCACGTTGTCAGTAAACGGCGGTGTATGTCCCCAGGTGGGGCTCGGGTGGCCGAGGCGCTGGGTTAGAATCACCGTCCTCCCCCTGGCAGGCGTGGCCCTGGCACCTCCTACCCTCGCAGGCCACCGCCTCCTCATCTGTGAACTGGAGGTGAAATGGTGCCGGCCCCAGGCTGCCAGTGGAAACCCCTGGCACAGCACGCAGAAAGGAGAGCTCCCCGGGCATCCGGTTACCTAAGCACAGCAGGCCACTGTGGGGCGCTGTCGCCTCCTTCCTGGATGGGTCCCCGGGACCGCTTTTAAAGTCTCAAATGGACTAGTGCAGGACGCCAGGGTCGGAGGCACTTTGAAGCCCCATTGCCCTGGGGCGCTGGGATGACTGGGCCAAGGTCAGCCTTGGACCGTGACTGGCTCTGGGAGCTGAAGGCAGCTGGTGGCGATTCCCTGCCCGGGGTGCCAAGGGCCTCAGCTGTGGCCTTCCACTGCGCCCCAAGCTTAGCTTCCTGCTCAGTGGTGAGGTAACAGGTTGCTGGGGGCCCGACGCTGCAGCTTGGCCTTGGAACTGGGTGCCGAGGGGTGGGGTGGGCGCTGGTGAGGGGTCAGTGCTGGTCCGCTCGCCGCCTGCTGCTCTGCATTAATTGTATTCATGCCGGTGTATTGAAATGGAAATGTGATGTGGCGGGGCTGGCGGGCTGGGCGCCCGCTGGAGCAGTGCTGGGTAGGGGGCGTTTAAGGGCGGAATCCCAGGCAGGCCTGGGTGGGGAGTGGGGAAGGGTTTCCCACAGGCAGCTTTTGGGACGACTGTGCCCTCCTCAGCACCCGGGAGTGGCGGTGCGCCTTGTCTGGATGTGGCCCAGCTGGCAGACAGCCTCGGAGTCCTTGGCTATAGGCAGGTCGGCGGCCGGTCTGCCCCTGCTGGCCTGTCTTGGGAGGCCAAGCTCCCAGGAAGTTTACAGAGGTTGGGCGGTCCCCTCCACCCCGCCAGTGCAGGTGTGTGGGACCGGTGTGAGGTGGAGGATGTCACGAGGTTGGATTTTTTCTCCTTGGGACTTTGCCCCAGGTTTTTAGTGAAAAGGTAGACTGATGTACAGGCAGACTGGCACCCTGGGGGCATAAAATCCTGCACAATCACCAAGATGTGGGTGCTGGGTGAGGATGCAGAGCACCTGAGCCGGGCTGCCTCGGCTCCCCGTTGCAGTGGTGTTACAGGGCAGCCCCGATATAAAACAGGTTGCCGGACTGTGGGTCCTCACCAGGTTGCCGGACTGTGGGTCCTCACCCGCGCGCTTCAAAGGGACTTATCAATATTCCACTGCAGGTGCACATAAAAGGTTCATAAAAGATTTATTTTCAAGAGAAGGGGAAATGAGGAAATGTACAACTCAGGGAGAAAAGAGGGAGATAAAGTCTTAAATGTGTCCTACCCAACCCACCCACCTGGAATCCCCATGGCACGCTGAGACCTGGCCGAGAGCCAAGCGCCTTGAGGCCAAGAGAGAGCCCCAAGGCCCACGTGTCTGGTTTTATACCAACCCGAGCAGCTTAACTCCGCCCTCAGGTCCCAGCAACCCTCCCTTTGGTGATGATGGGATTTGTCATTTCCAGTGTCCTGATGGCTTTGGTCTGGGGTGGGGGTGGGGTCCACAAAGCCTGCATGGAATTAGCTTAGGACATCCTTTCCCCCTAACAGTGGCACCAGAAGTGGCTCTCCTGGGCGTGTGGCTTTTCCAGGTGGGGTGCAAGGGGTGACCACCTGGCTGCCTCTGCTTCCTTCCTTCCCTGCCCAGAGGTGTGCTGGGAGCAGAGTGACCTAGCCCCCCACGCGTGGACTACCTACATCCCGGCAACTGAGGAACCTTGTTGAATAGGCAGATTTCCTTTCTTTTTTTTTTTTTTTTATAAGATTTATTTATTTATTTATTTATTTATACAAGCACTGGGTACAGTCAGAAGCACGGGAGGGTGAGAGGATTCACCAGAGCCAGAGCGGGGAGCAGAGCAGGCAGAAGGACCGAAGGACTCTGCTGAGGGGAGCAGCGGGCGGCAGGGGAGGTCTGCGCGCCATGTGGGACCCTTGCCAGCGGCCGGGGATCGAACTGGTGCTGCAGAGGCTGCAGGCAGCTTCGCAGCCCAGTGCTCAACCACTGCACCACCAGGGGAGGCCTCGAATAAGTAGATTTTCTGCATGCAAATTACACTTCAGTAGAAAATTAACAAAACACAGATTTTAAAACATTTGTGAGATACCTGAAGGAAGTAGACAAGTTTCTTGATAGTTGGTATGGAATCTCTAGTTGTTTTTTCAAAAGATGTATTTATTTATGCATACAAGAACTGGGGCACAGGCCAGAGGTGTGTAGGGGGGGTATGAGAGGATTCACTAGAGACAGTGGAGAGCAGAGCAGGCAGATCTACTGAAATACACTGCTGAGGGTGTTCCAGGGCAGGGAGAGGGGCACCCCAGAGCCTGCAAACCTGCCTGCTCTAAATAGGTTCTGCCATCCGCCACATCAACACAAAACATATGAGACTTTAATGAAAAGGAACTTTAATACAATTAGGAAACAACAATACAGGAAAGGCAAAGAATATAGTTTCTAAATCAAGCACCCCGGGCCTCCCTGGTGGCGCAAGCAGTTGAGCGCAACACTGTGAAGTTGTCCGCAGCCTCTGCAGTGCCGGTTTGATCCCCACTGGCCGCGGAGCAACCCACATGGCGGAGCAGACCTCTCCTGTCTCCCCGCTGCTCCCCTCAGCAGTGTATTTCGGTCAGTCTGCCTGTTCTGCTCCCCGCTCTGTCTCTGGTGAATCCTCTCACCCCCCGTGCATCTGGCCTGTACCCCGGTTAAAAAAAAAAAAGGGAGATGTAAATCACACACCCCAAGTTACCTGTCCCCTCGTGGGTAAAAGCCCACCCAAACGGGATTGCCCAGAGCAAGGCCTGAAAGCTGCCACAAGTCTTAAG